GGCTCTGAGCCATCAGCCCAGAGCCTGACGCGGGGCTCGAACTCACGGACCGCGAGATCGTGACCTGGCTGAAGTCGGACGCTTAACCGACTGCGCCACCCAGGCGCCACGGCAGCAATTTTATTTAGAATTACATTACAATAAAAGTCCTTTAAAAGATGAAGTGCATTTTTAAACACATCAGCAGAACTTGCCTGCATGTGGTATGTTTTTCAAGCCCAGAATATGGATTTCCTTTGCTTCTGTTTTTGAAGTCTGCGATGTTGAAGTAGGAAAGAGTGTTGTTGATGTATCCCTCCATGGTGTAGTGGGTGTGGTCCCCATAGGGAGGGATGGAGAAGGACCAGTAATACACCAGGCGGGGGATCATGTCTGATGTGAAAGCGATGATCATGGCCTATATTGGGAGGAAAACAGTAAGGGGACATTAATTTAGAGCCTTTATAGCTATGGTTAACAAATGTGCCAGAATTATAGTTTCATCAGTTGATTTTTTTTTTAAAACTGAAAAATTCAGAAACTTTAATTCTTTCCTGTCTAATGGACATAGATAGTGAATGTCCTAAAGTCTTTGAGCAGCTGCTTTAAAGAATAGTTACTTCCTCTTGTCTTCAGTTCAAGTAAGGGCTGTCCAGAAGTCCACCTACAATTGGAAAGCAAAAGCTGGCAAGTTGCCTGTTTCTTTCTTTCTTTTTTTTTTTTTTAACGTTTATTTATTTTTGAGACAGAGAGAGACAGAGCATGAACGGGGGAGGGTCAGAGAGAGGGAGACACAGAATCTGAAACAGGCTCCAGGCTCTGAGCTGTCAGCACAGAGCCCGACACGGGCTCGAAATCAAGGACTGTGAGATTATGACCTGAGCTGAGGTTGGCCACTTAACCGACTGAGCCACCCAGGTGCCCCAAGTTGCCTGTTGCTTAAGTACAGCAAGAATAATTGTAGACCATCGTATCCTGGATAACTCGAGTTGCTTGCATATATTATATATAAATTAAATTTTCATAAATTAGAATATTATACAATTCAATCAATCTTGGAACTCTACTAGATATAATTTTCAGCTCTCTTTTATGATTTAGAAGACCATTTTGTAGAAGTAATATTAGTGTCAATATTATAATAATTTGGCCTTATACAATTCCTTTGTAGAATTTATAATTGATATAAAACTGATCTTTTAAATCCCTTGACTCTTAAAAATAGAATATAAATTGAATAAAATATATTTCCTTGATCTAATAATGGTCTTCAAATTCATACTTTTTCCCCTAGAGTGTCTTGATTTATTTATACAAGTCAACCCATAGTCTGATTTTAAACTCTCAGTATATACTTATGTATGTTGCTTCATTAGAAAACAAGAATTTTTTAAATTAACTTTAAAATGTAGGAAGCAAGAAAGTATACTGGAGTTATTTCATTCATATAGTCAAATGTATGCCTATTTTATAAGATCTAGTGTCTAGGGGCGCCTGGGTGGCTCAGTCGGTTGGGCGTCTGACTTCAGCTCAGGTCATGATCTTGCGGTCCGTGAGTTCAAGCCCCGCGTTGGGCTCTGTGCTGACAGCTCAGAGCCTGGAGCCTGTTTCGGATTCTGTATCTTCCTCTCTCTCTCTCTCTGACCTTCCCCCATTCATGCTCTGTCTCTGTCTCAAAAATGAATAAACGTAAAAAAAAAAAAAAATTAAAAAAAAAAAGATCTAGTGTCTAAGCTTCTAAGCTTCAAAAAGGCTAACTGGACAAAGTTATGAACATTATCATAGTTATGTTCTCAAATTAAAGGAATAAATATAGGTCAATTTTAAACGTGGGCCTGTGTCTGGCAGACCTCTATTAGGATGCAAAGCTATTATGAATTACATGAATCTTCTCTAAAATTCTTTAATTTGGGCTTTAAACTCTCCAATGTGTAAAACTGGCTTGAAGGAAGGAGCAAGTAAGGAATATACTTAAATCCATATTCAATGTGAATAAACAAAGTTAAACGATTCAGTCATTTATTTATTGAGGCAGAAAGACAGGTTTTTGGCACAACGTGATTTTTAATACTATTCATCTGAACATGTGGTTTAGATGCAGAGAGACCACAAGCCAACAAACAAGATCTCAGTCAGAGCAAGAAAAACAACTAAGGGGCTTTTCTATTGCAAAATGACCCCCACTAGTAGACCAGCTTTGTCATTTCCTCCCAAGTGTGCCTGTGTCTGCTTCTGGCTGGTGGAGGGGGGAGGGGGTAAGGCAAGAATATTTTACTTTACCAGATTTGAATAGTTTAAAATTTCCTGTTATCATTTAACTATAGCTTTTTACAGAATCACCTGCAGATGTGCTCCAGGAAGCTGCAAAAATTCCAACAAGGAAGATAATTCTCTTGTCTTCTGACAAGATATTTTTCCTCCTGAATTGAGCTGCTTTGAGACACGCTGCAAGAGTACAAATAAATGCAGTGTGCTTCATTTCCTATGCTGTTCTGAACACTTTTCCATTTATATCAAACTAAATTAAAATTGGTCTTCAACGGCAGATACTGTGGCCTGATACAACCGTGTCAATTCAGCTTCTTTGCTGGGGACTAGCAGCTTTAAAATGAATGATTCGATGTCCATTCTCATCCCTGGTGGCTATTCTCTTCTTCCTACAGTTAAAAGCTCCCCTATTATGGAAAGTTAGCACTTGAGTGCCCAGTACATTTTGGAGGCACATATTAGGAGTGTGAGGGGATAATTTACATGTTTCATTCTTATAGGCATATATACAAACGTACGCAGAACCTGCATCTTGGAAGCTGTAACAAATCCTAATAATATGGGAAAGAAAAGGACTGTCCATCATTCAATCGATGATCTAAAAAGCAGTTTTCCTACGGTACAATGAAACGATGCCTAAGTTGTAAGAAGAAACAACTACGGATAAGAACCAGCAGCACCAATTAGCAAGCACGCATGTGCCTGTGTGTGTATACACAGACACATCCACACAGAGTAGACATAGAAACACAGCCAGTACCCCATCTGTGCTAATGGAGTGGAGCCATCCTGGGGATACTAGGAAAAGGTGCCTGACACAAGCAAACCAGAGTGCTGAGGATTGGGCAGTAAGAGTCATTTGAATTTTCTGGCTAGCTGAAGGTCAAACAAAAACGCTTTTAGTTTCAAACCTTGTTGCTAAAATTTTCCTAATGTACACAATTCCACGTTCCTGCCTTGCTTAGTGTTGTATAGCATATTTAATGTGACAGATTCTTTCATGATTGTAACACAGTGGACGTTGAAGGTGTGGGTTACTTGGGTGAATGGAAAATGATACAACCTAGCAGTTGTTCCTGTGTGTGTGTGTGTGTGTGTGTGTGTAATTTGTAACTTTCTCCAAAAAGTAGGGATAACATACAATTCAGATAAATTGAGGGTTCTTGACGGGTGGTGACAGCTGGGTTCCAGATAACTTGCTTTGTTGTGTAAAACTGTAACCACAAGAACTGTAAAATTCTTGTGCCTTTAGTTTAGACACCTGTTGGAAGTCTACACAGAGTCACTATTACTGATGATGGATAATGATGATAAAACAGCAGCAGCTAACGTTCCATGAGGACCAGGCTCTGTGCATTCCATGCATTAACTCACTGAAGTCCTTGGTCATCCTTTATGGTATATAATATTCTTAAAATATGCGATAGGGAATTATTCAATTTACAAACAATAAAATGAAGCTGTGAAGTGTTAAGGCCTGGCCCAAGGTCATGCTGCTGGGAAGCTACAATACTGACAGGTGGACTGAGAGTCTGGCCTGTGACTGCAATGTTGAGTATGTTCCCTCATCCAGAAGACTGACCCACAGGCACGGAGTTCTGTTCTGTTTCTACAGGTGCTTGTGGGAAAAGACTGGGGACTCAGGGCAAGTGTGGCTTAACTAAGAAATGAAAACTGGGATATCATCTTTTGGAGATTGTCAGTGACCCAGGAGTAAAATGGGTAGTGAACTCAGGGAGGAAATAGCCCTAATTGTAAGCATATTTCTAAGGAAAGTGCTCATCCCCCTGCTGGGCTGGCATGGAAATTGTTCTCCCTGAAAACTCCCTGCTGGCCTGTGTTTTAAAAAAAAAAGGGGGGGGGGAGGAGGGTGCGGGGGTGGGCAAAGAGAGACTGTTCAGATTGGTCCAAAATCTATACAGGTTGTTCTGTTCCCTCAGAGCTGGGACACATGCAGGGTATGAGGCTGCTTAGCTAATGACTAGAGGGTGGCCAGCAAAGGCCAAGGGGACAGACGGGGTGGGGAGGAGAGATGGGACCCACCCTAAAGCCCCCCCTCCTTGAAGAACCCTAGGAGACATGATTGGAACACACAAAGTGCGTGAACATACTTCATCATCAAATAGTCAATATTTTAAATTGATAGTTTGGAATATATAGTAAAATATGGTAGAAGGATAGTTCTTATTTGCGGGCAGTAAACACTGTAAGTGGGCAGATGTCTATCTCTATTACAACAGCACTATTGTATAGCTCTTTTTATAGTCGCATCAGGATTAAGAGAGTTGGTACTTACTGTTATTACTATTACTGTGTTCCTGTTAAATAAAAACGTTAGCAAATGAGCAATGATAGTATCATGGTCACTCTTAGCAACTGCCTCTGTAAGAGCTCTTGACTTTGTAAATCATTAATAAATAATTACAAACAATTAAAAACATTAAAAAAATAATAACAATTACAGTTATAACAACTGTTTTTATACAGATGATAGTACCGGCATCTCCCTCCCATTAGAAAAAAATATCAAACATTTGATTCTTTAGGTAGCGACACTAATGCATTTTGGACTTTTCAAGGTCTTTACCCTGCGCAGCCTATGTTTACTCACATTGGTCACCACAGCCAGAATCGCTATTCCTTGCATGATGGGCTGCCAGGCTCCGATGTCTTGGGCTTTTTCTGGAACCATGCGTCTATACTGGGTAGTCATTTTCCATGCGTCCACTCTTATTTCCAATATATTGTTCACCAGAGCCAACAGGGGGGCCAGTGGAAAAGAGGCCACAAATAAGGTGACGAACCCAAACTGAATAACTGTCAATGGAATGGACACACATCATGGAGTGGTGGATGGATGGAAGGACAACGTATTTTCCTTTACTCTTACAAAGAAAGAAAAAGGCAAACAAACTAAATCCCAAAGAGAAAAGACATCCATGGTAATAACAATGTTCAACAAAAGACAAATATGAAACCTCTGGAAAGAAGACTAATTATAACCAGTTTCTATCACATGTATATACTTAACAGGAAAAATAGACCTAAAATCTTTAATCAACTCAAGTTATTTGCTGGTATTAAAGTTGGGACACTCTCAGTATGTTACTCATTCTCTGTTGAAATACCAGAATGTTGGAAGATGATTCATGATTTTGGGTTAAAAAAAGAAAAGGAGTATTGTGGAAGTATCTAACAAGTTCAAAAGAAATAAGAAATGTACTTTTGGGAAGGCTATGTGTAGAGAATGTTAGAGGAAATATGCTGCAAATAGGCAAATGAGCGACCTTCCCTGAGTCTGCAAACGCCAAGTTGCCATGCCTTCAGAGAATTTGTAATATTATTACAAATCACAGAAATGTATGTGACAAAATTATCTTAATAAGGCAAAATATAATCCTTCAAGAATTTTTACCTGGAAGTGGTTGCCATCTATGTGGTCATATTAAGTAAATATCCAAGTGAAGGGTTAGAAGTACTTTTCTCCTTGTAATTTAGGTGGCATTGCTATAGATGGGTGGCAGAGATTGGGGCAAGCTGTACCACAGGGAGGTAAAGGTTAGAAATAAGGCCAGAGATCTAAAAGAAATCTTTCAAGTAAACGAGTACAGATATGGGACTAAGGCTGTGAATGCCAGGAAGATTTACAGCCCCTTTACAGCTACGGCTCAGAACAGGGGCAGGGACCAATCAGGCGAGGAAGGGCAAGACTGTGGAGGGGTATGTAGGTAGAAGGAGCTGGCATGTTCTTCTGGTCTGAGAAGCCAGGGTATGCTGCAGAAGAACAGAGAGGGCTGGAAAGATCTGGCAGGTCCACAGGCCAGGCAAGAGCCACCGTCTTCAGGGAAGACAGACAATTATCGGAGTTGATGATACCATAGATGTTGACACCAATGCTTGGTATTATGCTGCTGACTGTGTCTATGCATCACCTACCCCTAAATGAATTCATCTGCCTGCTAGGGGCCAGGCAAGTAATAGAAATGTGTGGAGTGGGTGCAGTCAAATGTGGTAAACTGGCAAGTGCATAGCCTAATAAAATGGAAGGAACTGCATACAGTTGCCATGTTGGAATGAGGGTCCAATGTTGCCTGATCTTATTATTCAAGAGAAGCCAGAAATGAGGACTATGCAAGCAGTCAACCCAGTTAAAAATCCAAAACAGAAAAGATGTTATTTATAATTACAACAAAAGTATAGACTATTTAGGAAAAAGTTAGTGAGAAATGTTAACAAGGTATGATAATGGTCTTAAAAAACAAAAACAAATAATGATGAATGAATGAATGGTAGGATGTACCATATGCTTCTTAATTGGGCAGACTCAAGATGGGGGGACTTATATCAATTTTTTTTCTCCAAAATATAATTTAGAATTCCAATACAAATTCAGTTAGTGATCCCAAATGGGTATTTTTTTTTTTAAAGCTGAAAGAGGATGCTAAAGTTTTTCAAGAAATATACACAAGTACACAAGTAAAATAATGAAAAGGAATGCTTCAACTGACAGGAGAGACATTCTGGAAGAGGATACAATAGGTCTACCTCTGAGAGATTCTAATAATGTATTATTATGCTCTGGAATTGAAACAGTTTAGAACTAGTGCATTAATAGTATGAATTAAACAGAATTGATGCAGATATTCATAGGAGTTTACTATATTATAAAAAGTGATGCTTCAAATCAGTGGATTCAAGTGTTGGAGCCATCAGCTACATCACTGGAAAAAACTGGTATGGAGTCCTCCCTTTTGACATCAAAAGAGAGATGGATTCATTGAAAAATAATGCACCAGAAAAACCAACATGGCATCATGGTTTTGATATTCAAGTGAGAAGAACTTTCTAAGCTTTGAAATGAAGAACAAAAAAAGACCTACCGATTCTGCAAGGCAATAAATACCCAGTGTAAAAACAAAAATAATCCTTGTCTAAAACTTTTCCATAACCCTATATTGCTAATATGCTCTATACTTACTTCTTCACTTTGAGTTTCTTGAAAAAGTACCTCAACTATTTCTCCGCTTATTCCCTCCTCAAAGCCCTACATCCTGCCACGGCCCTCCCTATGCTCACTATGCAGTGGCTGCAGATTTCAAAGCCAGGGTACATTTTCAGTCCTTATTTGTTTGATTGCTAGGCAGCTTTTGATATGGCCAAACATTTCCCTCTCAGTGGAATGCCTTCCCCCTGACTTCTGTTTTACTTAAATAATTTTAAAAAGCGAAGGTGTATGTGTGCACGCGTGCTCGTGCGTCCACACGCATGCATGCACGCACATAATTTCTTTTAAACACTACCTGTAGTGTTCCTTCTACCTTTTCCCACTGTGCCAGCAATTAAGTGTGGGTTCAACTCTTGCCTCCCCACCCTGCCCGCTTATTTTGCATTATGCTCCTTTTAGTCAGTGTTCAAATTCCTCTTAAGCAACATTCTCACCTTCTAAGCTTTCCATGTTGGAGTAACTCTCTGCTACATTTCTTCCAACTGTTCTGCTATTCTTCCTTTGTGGATTTCTTTCCCCATTTACCCTTTAAATGCCCCATTTCCCCAGGGCCTAATCATCAATTCTGTGTCGGGCATGCCTGAATCACCCCCAGGGTCCTACCTGCAGCTTCTCTGAGCTCCTGGGGAATCCAACTTTCTAATGGACATTTCTACGGATCCATCCCATGGACACCTCACACTTGAAATATTCAACACTGAACCATTTCCTTGACATCAGCTCCTCTCCTCATATTCTACCTGCACATTCAATCTCCTGGAAATTATCTCACCAATTTTATTCCTCACCTACCATACTAGTTATCTCTTTAGCACTTGTCCAATCTGTCTCCCTGATCTCTATGCCCATACCCACTGCCTCTATTTAGGTGTGGGGATTACCTAGTTGTGTGGGTTACCTGGTGTAGCCTCCCAAAATATCCTTCTCCTACCAAAATATCTTCCATTCTGCTGCCAGAATGATCTGATCTTTGTCAACATAAACATTATATAGCTCTCTTGCTTACAAATATTCCCATGGGTAAGGATAAGTTCATTAAGGAGAAGTTCTAGTTCCCTGGATGAGCACACGAGACCCATTATGACACAGTCCTTGCTTACCTGACATTCCCACCTATGGATCCTTTGTTCTCGCCATACTTTGAACTGGCCAAGCTGTTTCATGTCCTTGTACTTTTAAATGTCCACCTCTTTACATGAAATGTCCATTCCCTTTACCATACTTGAAACAACTTCCATTCACTCTTCAAAATCCAATTCAAATCTCATGTGCTCTAGAAAGTCCCATCTGCATTTACTTTCTTAACAATCCACCAAATACTGACCACCCTTCACTTGGCTCTGTAAGGGCAGGCACCAAGTCTTACTTGTCTTGGTATCCCCAGCAATTGATAAGAGTATTTGGCATAGCAGGTGCTCCATAAATGTTTATCAGATGAATGAATAAAGAGGTAGGAGGCCTGCAAAAATGAGGAAATACCAATGCAGGTAGTGGGAGGAAACAGTGGAGATGAGGAAATGGAAGAACACAGGCCTGAGTCCTGGAGAAGTATAGTGGGGTGCTGAGGTGGGGTTAGCACTGGAGAAAAGAGGAAAACGGGTGGGCACAAGGAAATGCTAAAGAAGAGTTGGTGCTAATTATAGTAAATTAGGTGGAGAAAATAATATATGAAGGTCACTGTTTGAATAGATCTTTGAAAATTAACTTGGAGATGGAGGATGGTGAGGTCAAATTAACAAGGATCACGGAGGCAGGGCCAGAGACAAACAGGGCCCACTCCATCATTTTCTTGCATTTCATTTATGTCACCCGCCCCCTAGGAAGGCCTCACCAAGTTCACAAGAGACTGGGTGTCTGTGCTGTAAGTACAAAATGGTATCTTCTGGTTTTGAAGCTAGATTTTAGACTGACAGACTGTGTCCTGTGTCTGAATTCTCAGATGTTAAGACCAGACACCCGGTGAAGCAATTTGGTTAACAGACCAGGGTTACTCTAATAATCTCAAAGGATGGTGGGGAATTCACTAAAGATAACAGAAATTTCGCTCAAAAATAAAACCCAAAAAACATATGCCATAAAGAACTTCACCAGTGTTGAGTTTGGTAAGTTCTTTATAGATTTTGGAAGCTAACACTTTATCTGATATATCATTTGCAAATATCTTCTCTCATTCTGTTGGTTGCCTTTTAGTTTAATCCAGTGAAGAAATGGGCAAAAGACATGAATAGACACTTCTCCAAGGAAGACATCCAGATGGCCAACCCACACATGAAAAAATGCTCCACGTCACTCATTATCAGGGAAATACAAATCAAAACCACAATGAGATACCACCTCACACCTGTCAGAATGGCTACCATGAATAACTCAGGCAACAACAGATGTTGGCGAGGATGAAGAGAAAGAGGATCTCTTTTGCATTGTTGGTGGGAATGCAAGCTGGTGCAGCCATTCTGGAAAACAGTATGGAGGTTCCTAAAAAAACTAAAAATAGAACTACCCTACGACCCAGCAATTGCACTACAGGCATTTATCCAAGGGATACAGGTGTGCTGTTTCAAAAGGACACATGCACCCCCATGTTTATAGCAGCACTATCAACAATAGCCCAAGTATGGAAAGAGCCCAAATATCCACTGATGGATGAATGGATAAAGAACATGTGGTATATATATACAATGGAATATTACTCGGCAATCAAAAAGAATGAAATCTTGCCATTTGCAACTACGTGGATGGAACTGGAGGGTATTATGCAAAGTGAAACTAGTCAGAGAATGACAAAAATCATTTGACTTTAGTCATATAAGGACTTTAAGAGACAAAACAGATGAACATAAGGGAAGGGAAACAAAAATAATATAAAAACAGGGAGGGGGATGAAACAGAAGAGACTCATAAATATGGAGAACAAACTGAGGGTTACTGGAGGGGTTGTAGAAGGGGGGATGGGCTAAATGGGTAAGGGGCATTAAGGAATCTACTCATGGAATCATTGTTTCACTATATGCTAACTAATTTGGGTATAAATTTTAAAAAATAAATAAAACAAACAAAAAAAAAAGAACTTCACTAGGATGGTGGGGGCAATATTAACGTAAACTCAACTAGCAGTTGTATGTATGTGTTGAAACTCCAAGCTCAGGTCACTTGAATAAATATCTATGAGTATTAGGTCCAGACAGTGGTGCTCCAGCTGAAGACTGAGAGATGCAAAGGCTTTGTAGCTACCTCGAACAGGATTAGTTAGCCAGGGGACAGGCATACCCACAACCAGATGCCATCAAGGCAGGAATCAAGTACTATCAATGCCTACAGAAAAGAGCGGCAAATCTGTGTGAAAAGCTGAGGGTTACTACTGAGGCTTGGCAGGAGTTCTTCAGGTAGAGAAGAGAATGGTGTTTCAGGCAGAAGGGAGATCTAGTCCCCTCCACTGGGCAGAGGGGACTAGAGCTGGTGGCTGGATACAAGGCTCCAGGCTCATTTGCCAGAAGATGTTTGGCTTCAGCAGCTAGGAGGCATAATTAAGAAGGTAGATGGTGGTGTCATTAATGAATATGGGAAGAAGCAGGAGGAAACTATAATGAGGCCATCGACAAAGGCACTCTATATTTATTTTAGAGGAACAAAAATAATTCAAGAGGCACTTGGAAATTCTCTCTCTCACAAAGTAAAATAACAAAAAATAGTTTCACTCTGGTATTGAATATGGAACAGACTGCTTTCAAAAATTAATTTTTCTAATTCATTAGTTATTATTTAGATAATAGGAAAACAATTTAATAATTCTAAAAAATATCTCTGTAATAGTCGTTATTCTATCCTTTCTTGTAGGGTGGGATGAAGCCGAATTATTTTGTTGGTAACTATTTTAATGAGACTATGAAACTCTAAAAGTCATACCAATTTCTCCCCAAAGCACAACCTTTTCCTGTAACTTTTTCTCACAATGCTCTTTATTTGACTAATCAACTACAGAAAAATAACTCTATTTTTTCAAGGTATGTTTTCGGTGCTAAAATAACAAATTATATTCTGCCCCAGAATGTTGTTGTTATTAATGCTGATAATAGCTCCAATAAGAAATATTTACAATTATGACTCATTTTGGAATCAGAGGTAATTTTCTTACAGTTCTTTTGAAAATTAACAGAATAAATAAATAAATAGAGCTTCTATGTTATGTACTGAAGCTACACCCTTAAACGAACCTGGTCCCGAAACCTAACAAAAGCAAAAATGAAATTTAAATCTAACTCCAGGCTGCAAAGTATTGTTGACTGAAGGTGCTACAAGATGAACCTTTCAATCACTGAAAGAAGCAGATGTGTTTCCATGTTTCATGTATATTTTTAAAAGCAATTATTTTATATATAGAATGTGATTTAATAAAAACCATCCTCTATCTGCAGACTTGTAAACAGGAACTGCAAAGGGGTATCTTTGCAAACACACAAACCCCTCTGCATAAATGCACAGCCTGTCAACCAAAATGTTCTGCCTCCTTTCCTAATCCCCTAAGCTGAAAAAAATTATAGTTCAGTGCAATGGTTAGCTGAAAGGGAACAGATCTAAAACACATAAATCGTTAGCCTCCTAATAAGATGTAAGTGTGTTATGCATAATAGAAAAGATGGTGTTTCCTCTGTAAATCTGTTTTGAGATGTGTCCACTTAAAGGCACCTAAGAGCTCAGGGTCAAGTCCAATGAACAGAAACAGAGCCCAAGCAAATACTGCACAAGTGGACAAAGCATTCAAGAAGGAGGGGACCTGTGCTAACTTCTTAATCCCAAACCAGCAAAATGGTTCTGAATTCAAGCCAGTGATTATCCATGAGGTCAAAGAACCAGGCAGAAACCGTGGGCCAGAAGAAATAGAGATGCTGTTACAGGCAGGTGGGAGGTGTCAGAAGGGAACCCTGTGATCCTGCCTGCCACGAAACAGCATGTGCCTACAGGCTCTCTGTCCAGGCTTGCTTCAATGACTCATTCAGAAGTGTATCGGCCAACAGCTGTGCCTGCGTGGACTCCAGCACAAGCTGAATCACCTCTAATAATAGTTCTGAGTTCATTCTCAGACAATATGGTTAGAGTACTCTGAGTATGGTGAGGAGGTATCTCAACGAATATGCCAGTCCACTGCTTCGTAATAAATCTTTAGCTTTGTACAACATACAGATTGACAAGGATCCACACAGTCACCTTATCTGAAAGCCTGATTGTGTACTTTGATCTAGTGGAGAAAAACATGCTTCTCTTCATTTCAATATGCCAGGTAATTATGTGGGATCCAAAACATGCTCCAATCTAATTTTTATATCAACTAAAACTTCAGTAAGGACTTACTCATTTCAAGATATTCATAAAACAATCCCAGTTTGCCCATGGGCTGCAGGTGGTAGTCTTGTTCCCATCGCGGGGCTATCTTTTCTGCTCTGGAAACTGTGCGGCATCGCCCAATCAGGTTCTTGACCCAGCTGTCAAAAAGATCAAACTATCAATTAGAATATTATCCAATTACTTTGCAGATATCTCAAGCTAAACATATAATCCTCCCAAGAAATTAATTTCTTGGTTTCATGCTAAATTTCTTTTTGTTCCTTCCTCTTTACCCGAAAGTATTTTGAAAAGCAGCACTATGTACTGAGTTTTAAGATCGTAACTGCTATTATCTTTTTCTGCCAGCTGCTTTCCACGTGGACAGTTGATTTTTTAAATGTTTTCATTTTATTTTTGAGAGAGAGAGAGCGTGCGCGCATGTATGTACACGAGTGGGGCACGAGGGAGACAGAGGGTCTGACGCTGGCTCTGAACTGACACCAGGACCTGATGTGGGGCTTGAACTCTGGAGCTATGAGATCATGACCTGAGTTGAAGTTGGATGCTCAAATGACTGAGCCACCCAGGTGCCCCATGGACAGTTTTTAAAAAGACTTTCATTTGATCAACTTTATTTTTTTCCCCCATTCCCCTACCATTATCCACAATGGTCTTTCCAGAATGAAGTCACCAGAGAAAATAAAATGAAGACAGACATGGTATGCGAGCTGGTAACAGTGCCCTGAAGAAGATCGAAGCAGAGTAAGGAGTGTTGGCATTTGTGGTAGGGGAGTGGGGCGGTGGCAGGGAAGGGCTCTCACCAAGAGTGACATTCGAATAAAAATACGAAGAGGCAGAGAGAACAGCAACTATAGGACCCAGAGGCAGGAACAGGCCTCCTACATCTGACAGACAGCATGGAGCCTGGTGTGGTCCAGGCCTAGCAGGAAACCAGGCTGGAAGTTTTGAGGAGTGGGGAGCCTAAGAGACCACTGTGGAGATCTGGGCATTTTCTAGTCTGGGGGAAACAGGGAGCCATTGAAGGGCTCTGAGAGAAAAGTGATGTATTTTCATTTTAGATGAAACAGGTCCAAGACCCTAGTTTAAGCTGAAAAAAATCAAGGACCAGAGAAGCAAAATGCGTCCTCAAAGTCACAGTGCACAGCTGGCTGAAAACACAGCCTAGTGCTCTGCTCTGTCAGACACCGGCCCCACAGAGTCATCTCTCGTCTTATATGTTATTTTCTTTCTCAAAGCCTCCAAATAAATGTTTCCCCCTTTTCTATGGCTCTTTTTCCTGAAAATAGATTGAAGTCTGGCAGTGAAATGAGGTGTGCACCTGTAGCCTGAAGAACCGTTGTCCCCTAAGGCAACAGCTGGCTTGTGGTCTACTCATGGAGTTCACCAGAAGAGGCACAAGAGCAGCAAAGAACGTCAAATACAAATGTCTGGGCCAAGCTTTGGCTGATTAAACAATATACTTGTACAGATTTCAAATTCAGGAAATGAGAAGGCCTCACGCTACCGTAAAGACAACTGTGTGTGTTGCACGCGCACCTGTGTGGGTGTGCACTCCCCTTGCCCCCCACGGAGATACGTGTTACAAATAGCTCATTATGCTATTAGGTTTCCCACTGCTGGCTGGTCTGTGTCAACTTCACTGACCACTCCCCGAGGTTTACAAAGGGGAGATTTCTCTACAACAGACGGTGCCCCTGGCTTCACAATCTTTTCCCATTTCTTTCTCTTCTATGACATGACGGACACAGCAGGCGGCTGTAGAAAGTGGAGGGGACATGGTCTCAGACACCCCTGAATGTGAATCTACACTTCAACGCTTACTATTTAACTTCAGTCAAGTTCAAATAAAATGGGTGATAAAACCCTGTCAGGATAAAATTCTGTCAGGATTAACTAATTCAGAACAGGTAAAATATTTAGCACATTTCCTAACACACCAAAACCCCCTTCATGGGATTTTCTTTTGTCCAGTACAGGCTAACTGGCTGAGGCCAGGATGACTGTAAATACAGCCTAAGCTACTTAGGATTCTGACTAGGGGACGAAAATGCTTGGATCGGTGGATCTCATGTCAGCACTTCGAATGGCCCAGAATGCTTGTTGCTGGTGCTATTTCCTGTATCCCAACTCAAAGCTCTGGCATCAGTCAAGTCTAAATCATGGCCTGGGAACCTACAGTTTTACACATAACAGAACCCTTGTGAGGCAGGTGGCATCAACGACGACACATCCATCACCCTTCAGGACATCCAACGAGATTCCTGGTTTCTACTTTTTTGTTTTTGGCTCTGCCTCACACTTCCAGCCTCAGCCTCTTGACTGAACTGTCTCCAAGCCCCAGAGAAGCAGGTCTTTTGCTATCAGGGCCCCAAATCCATTACAATTTGGACTGAGGATGGAACCTCTGTCCTGGCAACCACTCGCATGACCGGCTCGGCTGGTACTTCCCTCTCTCAAGATACTGCCTTCCTCCACCTGTAATAGGTCATATTAGAAGTCTTTCTGACTAGCTTTCTTTTCTGAGCTCCAGGCTCTGAGCCTTTTGTTCAGTCTTCCTGAGTTGAACCACTCATCTGTAGTAGGAAATCTTGGGCTGTCATCCATCCATCACTGTTGGTGGTCTTTTGGGTTTTCTAGTGGGTTATAACGGATTCTAGTGCAGAGATCTCAATCTCGACTGCACACGAGAATCACTTAGCTTTTTAAAAATACAGATGCTAGACACGGGTAGGATCTTTGTTCTGCTAGCAGGGTTTACAACACAATTTTCTTAGGAATTTACCATGCACATTAGCAATAACAGCATTGTAAAAGGTTACCCTTCCTAAGTCCTTATTATGTGTAAAGCATGGTATAAAGCACTTTATACCTCATTTTCTCTTTGTATCTTTATTATCATATTTAATCCACATACTACAAATAATCACAATTTCTGTGTAGAATATTCTACAGTATTTCCATTTGCTAATTTTGATTATAAGCATCCTTCACTATCTGAATCTATTTTACTGTTCCTGAATGTAAAGAGTGAGTATGGATAGTGAGGCATAACTGTATTTAGGGTTCTCTCAGTGTATCTTTGGTTCATCCTCTAGCCAAATCAGATCTTGAGAAGGGATAGTTTCCCTTGTAATAGCTCACTTTCCTGCTTTAAGTAGTGCATACCCATTGTAGAAAATACAGAAAACATATAAAGGATGAAAATTATAGCCCTCCATCATCTAAATGCCAAAGAACAATGCTACTGGCATTCTGGATATTTAATTATTTTACTTAACATTTTAGCATATAAATTTCTCCAGAGTGAATGGCTTAATGCAGGGATTGTGTCAGCCTTTTGTCAAATACGGAACAGAATTCCCAGGAATGCCTCAAATATCAAAATACTAAGTGAGGCTGGGAAGGCCAAAGGGCTCTGAACTTGCTTTCTGGGTACAAACAAACAACTCTGTTACTTTGCTGATGTGCTGTATCTGAAGGATGGGAGTCACTCATTCACACCAGAGCATGCCCACTAAATACGAGCTACCGATTTAGGTGCTAGCGGGACCCCAAAAGGAAGCTGGGTCACAGTGCCAGATGTGCTGCTCCGTTTGCTCCAAGGGTCCTTGCCAAGGACCTCAGGTGGTGTGGGGGTGGAAGAAGGTTAAGTTTGTGATGACATTCATTTCACTGTGTTCGTTTTGACATATTTTAACAGTGTGAAAACAGTCACCGACTAACAAGGCTTTTCTCTCCATCCCTGTGTATTTTGGGGGTGAGGGTAGTTGTGGGTAGCAGGGATAACTGATCTTTCACTTTGTGTGAAGAAAGAAAGAAGGAAGCTGGCAGCCAGACGCAAAGAAGCAGAGACGAGAAGAGCCCCTGTTGCTCTCTCAAGTGCTAACATCTAGCATTCCCAGTTTTCAGACAAGGGAAAGATAACTCAAAACACACTGCCCTTAAGTATTTTAGGCCAGGAGTAGAAATATCCAAATGAAAAGTTCAGGTCGCGATAATGTGCGACAGTAGACTCACTTGAAGTGCAGGTATAAACAGACCACGGATACAGAATACTTCCTTTATTTTTAAATATTTCATGTGAATAAGTTTCATTTCATACCAATTTCTTAGTACCAGTTTAAGAAATCTACTCCCCCCCCAGCCCCCGCTGCCACCCAGCCACTATGGTTTTGAAATCAGAAAATAGCTCACTGACAACCAATTAGTCATCAAAATTTAGTGTTAAATAATTAGCCTAATTCCTTCAGAAAAATGCTTTTTAATAATCTGAGTTAAGCCTTTCCTCTATTTGATATATTTATTCTCATATATAAACCCAATATTTGTGCATGACCTACTTTTACTCATTTGGAAAAATCTGAATATGAACTCGGTGAAGGTAAGGTTGTTTACTGAGTTGTAAGGCTCCAAAATAGTAATTTTATAGCTAAGACCAGAATCCCTTTTTTTATGAGGGGGGAGAGGGGAGAAGGGAGAGCTAGGGTGGGAAAGGGGGGTGTCTGTTTAGAGACAGACCCTGATACTTTACATTGAAGGCGGAGGATGAGCCTGGTGAAGAAATCTAGAAGGACACATTGATACCTAAAGGTTCCTGCTCTACAAATACAGAAAGAAAAGAAAAAAAGAGGTTAACGGCTCTGCAAAGAGAAAGAACAGGAACTTGGTAATGGGGAACAGAGAGGAGAAGTTAGGGGAGGGAAGAGAAAGAAAGAGAGGGAAGTTGTCTGTGGTGGGGGAAAGACAGGCAGCAGAGCCTGAAGCCTACAAAGCCTGGGGCGCCTGGGTGGCTCGGTTGGTTGAGTGGTTGAGCGGCTGACTCTTGACTTCAGCTCCAGTCATGATCTCATCACGGTTATGGGATCAAGCCCCGAGTCGGGCTCAATGCTCAGCACGGAGCCTGCTTGGGATTCTCTCTCTCCCTCTGCCCCTCCCCTACTCGTGTGCTTTCATTCTCTCTCTCTCTCTCTCTCTCTCACGACCACACACACACACACACACACAATCCAGTTATATAGTGGGGTGAAAGACTTTTAAAGATGGAGGTTTTTTATTTCAAAATAAAGTTGTTTTTCTGCCTCCGTGTCCCAAATGTCAGTAAAGACTGCTTGTGTGAGTAGTTTTAGAGGACACTGAGGAGAGGGACCACACTCTGCCTTTGGGTTGGTGTGAGCAAAAAGTACAGATGTGGAAGGCGACACAGAAAGGAGATGAAAAGTTTTGTGAGCACAGAAACTCAGAGTCAGAAATTATCTTGAAAAGGTTAAGTGTGATATGCAGAAAAATGTACCCCCCCCAGATGTCCACGTCCCACTCCCCACAACATATGGATATGTTAAAGTCACATGGAAAGGAGGAATTAAGGTTGCAAATGAGCAGACTTTTATAGTTTCCTGGATCATGCAGGTGGACCCAATGTAATCACCAGGGCCAATAAAGGTGGAAGAGAGAGGGAGGGGGATGGGATCACAGAAGAGTCAGAGACACACAATATTTCTGGCTTTGAGATGACAAAAGAAGCCCTAAGCCAAGGAGTGGACAACACCTAGAAGCTGGAAAAGGCAAAGAAACAGATCCATCCTAGAAGCTTGTGAAAGGAACACATCCCTGGTAATACCTTGACTTTAGCCCACTGAAACCCCTGTCAGACTCGTGACTTCTAGAACTGCGATATTAAATCTGTGTTGTCTTGTGGTTTTTTTTTTCATTGTCCTATTACCATTAAGTTGGTGGCAATCTTAGCAATAAAAGATGAATATAATAAGCCCCCTGAAAAGGTGCAGAAATTGAGATGGCCCTGGACTATTCGCTTTGATACAAGATAGGGCTTCAGTGAAAATTGAAAAGGACAGTGTGACCTACACCAACATCTGTTGTTCTCATTTCTTAGGGAAAGAACAGTAAGTCAAAACATTTGTGGTTATCATTTTAGATGATTATCTCTTAAAACATTATGTAATCCTGGTGCCTTAGGACCACAAGAGAACCACTCTTCTTGAAAGCACATGGATTTGGAGTCCTAGGATCTTGGATTTGAATCCCACAGTAGCCTCTTATGGACAAGGCAAATGTGGATAAATCATTTAACCTCTTTAAGCCAAAGACTCTTCATTTGCATAAGGGAGATAAAAATAAGAATTGTTTGAAAAATTAAATGAGAGAGATCTACAAAGCACTTAATACAAGTGGCTGGCACACACTAGGAACTCAACAAATCACAACTGTTGATTTTTTAAACCATCCTATAAAGGGAGGAGAAAGTCCTGAGAAGTGAGGGAAATAGTTCACAGTCCCAAAAAAGGCCAACTCTCCATGGACTGGGATCAGTCAGCTACCAACAATGGGCTAATACGCATAAAGTGTAGCAGATGGAGATTTAAGTTAAACAGAGAGAAGTAGGTTTTTTAAAAACATAATTATTGGGGCGCCTGGGTGGCTCAGTCGGTTGAGCGGCCGACTTCGGCTCAGGTCATGATCTCATGGTCTGTGAGTTCGAGCCCCGCATCGGGCTCTGTGCTGATGGCTCGGAGCCTGGAGCCTGTTTCGGATTCTGTGTCTCCCTCTCTCTGACCCTCCCCTGTTCATGCTCTGTCTCTCTCTGTCTCAAAAAATAAAATAAACGTTAAAAAAAAAAAAATTAAAAAAAAAAAATAAAATAAAAACATAATTATTAAACACTGGATACGTTCACACCGTTGGTTGGACCATCTTGTCTGGAGACTTTTACTAAATAGAGTTTACTCCATTTTAGAGGTAGGCATGCAGCTGTGTGAACACATAGGCAAATGATTTGGATGGGTGGGCTCTCCCATCCCTTATCATATCCCCAAGATTATACGACTTAATACTCACGGAAGTAACACCTCTTGTATGTTATTCCAGATTGCTTTTCCTCCCATGATTATTGTCAGCTGTGTCGTCAGTTCAAGGAGACAGCCACCTGGGTCACACTGGAATATTAAAAAGAAAATCTCATTTAAATTTTAGATGGGTCTAATGTGAAATAGAGAAGGATTAATTTTATTTTTTTCTGATATTTATTCTGCTGAGGCAAAAAGAATCTGAAGAACATACGGTGAAGAAACTCTTCACTGGGCAACTGGGAGAAAACACAAAGCAGCTTAAATGGTCAAGAGATTGCAGTTCTATACTCATACCTCTTCATTTCTGTATTTTCCCAGCCAATAGACTGGGTCTCCTGGATAACCTACAAATTTGCCCTTAAAGAATGCGATGTAGAAACATGAAGAATAGTAGTTGACAAACTGGAATAAGAACATCTTCATGGTCAGGCTGTTCTCATAATCAGTCTGGGTCCTTGGGAGTTCTGTAGTTAAATAAAGGCAAGATTTTAGAATTGTGAACAGCTTTGAGACCCTAATCGAAGACACTGATACATGAGTTAACATGTTAAAAAAAATACAATTCACACTGTTTTCATTTAAGCTGTTCTAAATTCCTTAATATAGCTGCTGTGTTAAGTTCACACATTGTTACAAGAGTCCGCCCCCTCCCCCAAGAATGCAATATCCCACATGGCAAAAATCTTCAAGGGTTCCTTAAAATTTACAAGCCCAATGTTTTCAAATGGGCAAAGGCTGTTCTCTCTCAGGTCTGAGTGGACAAAAAATTATTTTTGAACAGCCTGCTAAATGATATTCTTGTCTTCCTGAATTGCAATAAGGTAGGACTGTTGAAACAACAAACAAAACAAGGGGGAACTTGTTACGAGAATTTGGGGAAGAGGAAGCAGGTCATCCTCCTAGTTGAGAATTTAAATCAGTCTGATCATTTTCAGAAGATGACCACTGAGCAGACCATTCGGAGAATGACCCAGGCATATGCAGCATGTGGGGAGCGCTTAACTCTGGCCAGGAAGCAGCTGCCTGGGATACAAGCCAGAGAGAGAGAGAAACATTTATTACAAAAGCTGGAGCTGATGAGAACAGAGCTATATTAATATGAACAGCATGGGGGGAAGCCACACAACACTGTGATTACTTGTCCTCTCAGCAAAAAAGGAGCATATTTGCCACTGGAACCATGACCCTATTCCACTTATTCGTAATAAAGAGACTATTTACTTTCAACAATAGGGTACGTGATCTAATGTAATTGAAAATATTATTCAGCACTGATCTGTTTACACAGAGCTTGGACATTATAATGATTGTCTTTGCTTTGTCCCTTTTACTAATGCAAAGCTGTAGATAATTCATTTCCCACACAGGTTAGATAAAATATGTTTACACTTGAAATTTTCTAAAATTTGTAACATATGGAAATTGAAATGCCTAAAAGAGACAGTCTCTATTTCTCACCAGGTTCCAAAAATGTCTTAGAAATGACCTAAGCTATAATAGGACCTTACCAAAATTAGTAATCATGATTGCTACTTTTTCATATATGGTGTTCAAAATCATGATGATGATAAAGCTGATGAGGGAAGCAGTGATAGACGTGGCCGTCTGTGGAGTCAGGTACTTCTGGATTGGATCTGTCCCATTAAAGTTCTTGGGAAGTTTTGCAGAAAATACAATGAACACTGAGAGCCTGTAGACAATGATCCCAATAACTGAGGCGATGATCAATAGGATCTGGAAGCACAATAAAGACAGCACTTCACTAATTACACAGCACTATTACTTCACTAATAGTGTTTTTACACTTAAAAATCAACCCCATGCTCAAATGGACAAGGTGCACGTGTGAAGTGATGGGTGATGGGATATCCTGAAGTGATATTCTTTAGGATATGCATTCAAGTTTTTGCTCAGTTATAATCCATGAAGGGGATAGGTTTCCTTCCAGCAGAGAACAGATCACCTGGTTCAAGGGTCAGCAGGTGCTACCTGTTGTCTTGGTCACCTGCAGGAGGTGAGATTCTGAACAGGATGGGGAGCCTGCAGAGGTGCCCTGAGGAAACGTGGAAATGGCCACAGGTATCTGCTGATGAAAGCTTCACACACTTCTCCCCTTGGATCTTAAGATCTGAAACTGGCAGTTACTCCTACCTGCTTTTGCACAAGATTCATTTCACTCATCTGTTGTTTTTGACTGCATAGACCAGTGTCAGTGAGGGGGTCTGAAGCACGGTTTGTACACGGTTGGTAGGATGTCGCTTCCTCCCTAGGCACGTTTTCTCCGGCCACTGGGTAATGCACATTAAAGGTTCCGTGTTTAAACTGTTTTCCCTACATCTACTTTCTTGGACTTACTCCAAAGCATGTACTCGATGTGTCTGACTGCTTGTGAAGACTGTTACCAGAGACAAAAGCTACAAAAAATGTGAATTTCAGGGCCAAGTAAAACCTGCCCTGTTGTTTACAGCAACACAGAGAGGCTGGTTTTCACCTGTGGAGAGCAGTAAAGGGAGTGATTAACAGGCAGGGTCCTGGAACCGGGTTCCTGCATTCAAATCCCAGATATGCCTCTAGTTGTGGGACCTTGTGCAAATCACTTAACCTTTGGGGCTTCAACTTCTTTGCCCACGTAATGAAGGATCCTAATGGGAACTAACTTACAGGACTGTTGTGAGGATTTAATGAATTACTCCAGGTAAAAACACTTAGAACACGAAGCCCAGGCAAACGAAAAGTACTATATACATGTGAGCTATGGTTATGGAGGCTGAAGTGTTAACAAGATGTTTTTCTTACTTTTAAAGTTTGTACAGAAGGCATTATATTTCCTCCAATAATTTTGCTCATTATCTCCTTTCTTACAGTTAGGGTTTAATGCTTGTGAAAGGAATGACATGTTTATGTGTGTGAGTATATGTGAAAATTCGCCAAGGCTGAAGAAAATGTATTAGAGAAGGTATATCCAGTCTTCCTCTCTGAGAACAACAAATGCGGGCCATTTAAAGTGTATATATTTTACTTTATTTTATTTTTTGAGAGAGAGAGAGAGAATGCCAAGCAGGTTCCATTCTGAGCACGGAGCCCGACATGGGGCTCCATCCCATGACCCTGGATCATGACCGGAGTTGAAATTAACATTGGCTGCTCAACCAACGGAACCACTCAGGTGCCACTAAATGGTACATATTTAAAAAATATATATCTCCATAGGGGTGCCTGGGTGGCTCAGTCGGTTAAGTGTCTGACTCCTGACTTTGGCACAGGTCATGATGTCACGGTTTGTGGGTTTAAGCCCTGCATTGGGGTCTGTGCGGACAGTGCGGAGCCTGCTTGGGATTCTCTTCCTCTCTCTCTCTCTCAAAAAAAAAAAAAAATAAATTAATTAAAAAAAATTAAAAGATCTCCATAATAATTTTTAAATTATTAATTATAATGGCTGAGATTTTTAATTTTACTATTCAACTCAGCACATATTTTTAAAATCCTCAACAGCCCTGTGAGGTAAGTAGTATTGTATCTTTTACAAAGAAAAAGAGACCCAGAGAATAAGACTTTGACCCAAATTAAGCAACTAATAAGTGAAAAGAACTGAGTTACTCCAAGACTCTGGAGTCACACTAAACTCTACGTGGCACTGCTTCCTACATGGTTTATGAAATGAATTCTCATTCTTTTCAGAGCTTTTATAAACTTGCTATGTTTTCATACTTCTTCAGGGTACTTGACAGGTTCAGTATTTCTTCATAGAAGGAAGTCCTTATGAATCGTCATTCTTAAGTTCCTTACAAATCTTTCTGGCTATAACTTCAATATATGCTTATTAGGGAATATTTGAAATTACTCTATAGTGGACACTGGTTGTGTTTGCTGCCCTGAATCTGTTCCCAGACTTACAAGCAGACCCAGATTGTGCTTTGAGAGAATAATTTCTCCTCCATTTTCAGTCCTATGGCTTGGGCTGCATTGACCCCCTCCTCCCCTAGGGTTTACAGGTAGATCCTGATTGGTTTGAGGCAAAGAGGTGTCTCATCCTATTGGCCTCAGCAAGTGATTCAAGGATTGAGAAATATCTTAATAAAATTCAGTGAGATGTGAGGAGAGATCTGCTAATGTCCATGGGAAAGAGAAGCTTGCTTGTCAATAAAGGAAGCTGCTAACAGAGACCTCTCTTGTTTTGAATGGGATGTGAGATCTGGAATCTTGTGGCCATTTTGAGACTATAAGGTAGTGCCTACACCCACCAAGCCAGGAGACCAGTGAACAGAGAATGATGACAGAACAAAACACAGCCCTTGATGTCATCTGGACTGCAGTATCTATCCTTAATGGAAGTCATACCTCAGACCCGAGATTTTTAGTTACAGGAACCATTTATTGGTTCATTTTGTTGTCATCATTGTTGTTTATACCAACTGGAGATTGATTTTCTGTCACCTATAATTGAAAGACTCCTAACTATAGGGGCACCTGGGTGGCTCAGTTGGTTAAGCACCGGACTCTTGATCTTGGTTGGCCCAGGTCATGATCTCACAGTTTTGTGAGTTCGAACCTCACATTGGGCTCTGTGCTGACAGTGTGGAATCTGCTTTGGATTCTCTCTCTCCCTCTCTCTCTGCCCCTCCCACACACACATTCTATCTCAAAATAAATTAACATTAAATTTTTTTTTAAATAAAGGAATAAAAGAAACAGAAAAAAATGTATCTACTAACTATATACAGGCATAATTCCTTCAGAACTATGCATTGTTTGCATATTAAAAACTATTTTATGTATTTTCCTTAAACCTATCATAACCATAACATTTTCACATGTTGTCAAATATTTTTATGGACATACTTTCTTATGGCCGCACTATATTCTACTGTATGAAGGATTAGAAGTAGAGTATTTTGGCTCAGATTTTATATATACACAGTAAAACCTTGGTCTGAGAGCATAGTTTGTTCCAGAAACGTGCCTGTAATTCAAAGCACTTGCATATCGAAGCGAATTTCAAGAACCATTGGCTCAGTTGTGATCATGTGATGTTTGGCATCACGTTCTACTCACAATGCAAGACAGCCCTCATTTATCAAGTTAAAGTTAGAAATGTATGCTCATCTTGTGGAACACTTGCAGAACAAGTTACTCGTAGTCCAAGATTTTACTGGATAATAATGTATATAAATAAATATATATATAGAGAGTAATAAATCTGTATGTAACTAATCTTTACTAACTTTTACCATTTTGAAAGAGTTCCTGATTAAAAATTTTTACATGGTGAATTGTGGATTAAAGCACATGAATATTTTTGACTCTTGATACTTACTGTCATACTGCTAAGAAGGCCAGAAGCAGCTTAAAATTTTCATAGCTTAGGTATGAGAGCAGCTGATGACTGCACTTCATCCTCACAACCACTGAGCCTTATCACTTGATAGGTGAAACACTGTATCTCATTTTAGTGTGCACTGATTTAATTAGGATTGAGGCTTGACAGTTGCCAGGGTGTTTTTTCTTTTGTGAAAGGGTATTCATGTTCTCTGCCTCCTTAGCTCTTGAGATCTTTGGTGTTATCTTACAAGTGATCTGGACTTCTTATGTATTGAATGTAGTAAACCTTTGCCCTATTGGTTAACAAAAATTTCTTCTGTTGTTTTAAGCTTAGAACACTTCTGATGTGTGGAAATCTTTAAAGGTTTTTTTTTTTTTTATGTTTATTTATTTATTTTTTTGAGAGAGAGAGCAAGTGCAAGTGGGAGAGAGGCAGAGAGAGAGGGAGAGAATCAGAAGCAGGCTGTCAGCACAGTGCCTGATATGGGGCTCAAACTCATGGACCATGAGATCATGACCTGAGCCAAAATAGGATGCTTAACTGACTGAGCCACCAAGATGCCCGGATGTGTGGAAATCTTTAAATATTTTCCTCTGAAACTTCTTCCATTGCTGTTATGTTTAGAAAGTCTTTTTATATCTAGAGATTACATATTCACCAATATTTATTTCTAGTTTATGGTGTTATCTTTTGATTGTTTCTGGAATTACAATATATGTTAATAGTATGGTTTCCATCTTTCTCTCCCAAGTAGCTAACAAGTGTTCCGTCACCATTTATTAAATAATCTTTACTTATCCCACTGATTTATAATGCCTCCCTTCTTGTGTATTGTTAATGATAGGAGGTCCCATATCTGGGCTTCATGTCCTATTTTCTAATTCGGCTATTTTTGAGCCAATAAAATTCTTGATATATTACTAATTATTATATTACTAATATGACTTTATTAATAATAAACCCCAAATTAATTTCAAAAGTCCTGATAATCTAGGCATATTATCTTTTCATCTACAATAATTTGTTTAAGTCTTCTTTTGTATCTTTCAGTAGTTTTTACATTTTCTCTGATAATTCCTATTATCCTTTTAAGGCTATCCCTAGACATTTTATTTTAGCTATTACTGTTGGAAAATTTTAGAATTCTTAATGCCTCCCATTTGGTCTCTTCAGCAGAAAATGGAAAATCCAGAACCATTGATCTGATCTAAACACATGAGGTGGAAGGAACTGAAAGAACCACTGTGAGCAGGTAGATATTGAGAGTTGTTCCACATGGTGGCTGAGTGGTTCTCTGGAAACACTTCTATCAGACTACTAGTTTCCAGTGTGCCTTCAGTTTCCAGGATATTTAAAATTAGATATTAAAAAGTCTGTGACTGATTTACCCAGAATAAGACAGCACTTGCACAGAGGGTTATACGGATACATTTTCCCCAGGTAGTGAAGGGCACACGCTCTTCTTCCTAAAAAAAAAAAAAAAAAAAAAAAAAAAAAAAAAAAAAAAAGTTTAGTCAATCAAAGGTATACTCTGGTGAAATGATTTCTGTCCCGATTGGTCTCTAAATCCTAAGCTTAATTTTTGTAAAAATTAGTTTTCAAACAGCCTCCTTACTCATAACTGCATTTTGTTGTTGTTGTTGATTTCAAACATACACATAACAAGTACGTGCTCATTTTAATGGTTTTTGAAAATGTGAGCATGAACAATGAACCGTTTGTCTGCTGTGATCTCAGCTCAGGAGTCTATCTGACAACGCTAAGCTGTAAACTACATTCCTGAGCTTGTCTCAGATTCTAGAAATGGTGGCAATGACGGCACAGAGCCCACGCAGGACAGTGAGTTCCACGGTGTCTGCAAATACTAGGTACCTATTATGTGTTTCTTGGTTGAGCTTTATATATTGATTTGGCATAGCTATGAATTTTAAGAGTTTCCATAACTCATAAGAATATATTTAATTTTTAAGACTGGAGATCAGTACTTCTCAAGATTTATCTGGATTGTAAGAGTAGCTATAGTATAATAGTAGCCACAAATACTTACATTTACTCTAGGCCAGGTACTATTCTAAGTAGGTTCTGCACATTAACTCAGTTAATCCTAACCACAACCGTGTGAGGAAGCAACTCTATCAATCCCGTTTTATAGAGGAAGTTATGGCACAGAGAAGTTAAATAATTTGTCGAAGATCATTCGGCTAGTAACTTGCTGTTTAGATTTGCAGTCTCATTCCCAAGACTTCATTACCACACTACAGCCTAATTGAGTATGCATTAGCAATGAAAGTAAAATGAGGAAAAAAGATAAAGAAAAATGAACCTTCATCTTTAATTTTTTAACAAGCTATGTTTCAACGGAAATTTAACTTATTCGTTGGCAATTTTAAATTACCAAATTGTCTTTCTTCAGCACCTTTTCTGTTGCCAATATTATAAGCTTTTTCTACCCTACTATTTAAAAGGTGTTTGCAACATCTAATTTTATGTAAGTTTCTGCCTTCATTTCTGAATGTGCTGTCCTTCGACAGCACATGGTTTGACCCCATCCTCTTCCATAGTAAACAGTGAGAACTATACAAAATGGGAATCGCTGGAAGCTTGTTATGTTGTAAAAGACAAACGTCACCTTCTGTTGATAACTGAACCTCATTTTTTTTCCATTTATAAAATGAGGAGGTTGAACTGCTCCCTCCAGTCCCTTTTAGTGTCGGCCTTCTGTAAATCTCTGATTCAATTTATAAAATCTATACTTGGGGACATTTTCAGATGCTCTTGTTAAAAGCATTTTCTTTCCAAGAATTATTCGTACTCAGAACTGACTGTCCTTATGCTGATGACTGCAAGAACAATCAGCTCTAAATTTTCTGTGTTGATGGAAAAGAGCACTAATGCAGATGACCCAAAAATTATCTTTCACTGGCTTTGGAATGTTTCTACCGAGAGGTATAGCTTTGTTTTATTTTTATTTTTGCAGTAGCAGAAGGAATTTACCTTTCCAATTATATAAAATGCCTAGCACAGGCCTAAACATAGTTGGACTTCAACAACTGTTTCCCTTCTTCCTCTAGTCTTTCTACAACTTGAGGATGACAGCCGCACAGTCTCGTGTGCGTCCCAACCAGAAGGTGGAGCAGTGGCTGAGGCTTTAGTGCAGCACAAAGGGTGGCTGGTCTAGGATGAAAAAGGGGCTGTAATAATGAAGGTGCATGTGAAAAACTGAGAATCAACCAAAAAATCCAATGCATCCTTCCCTATACAACGAGCTCATGGAGTCTGATTTTTCTTTTCTGCATTTTTTACCGGAATGAAAGGACACAAACCAATGCATCTTTTCTTCTACATTTTAAGTCAGGGTCTAATTTTTTCCCCCCACTTTTACTTTAGATTAGGTCAATAAAACCTAATCTAGTAGGTGATACTACGATTTAAAAGAGAAAAACAAGTTACTTTTTTTTTTTTTAAAGAGGATGTTGATAACTTACTCAACTTGTGGAAACAGACTATAGCCACGGGAAAGGTAACAACAAAGAAGGGTCACATTTATCTCCCATGTCCACTGTTCTAAGCGATACTTCTTTGGCTTGGCTGCACATTAGAATCACCAGGGAAGCTTTAAAAAAATCCCTGTGCCTGGAACACACCCCAGGCCACCAAGTACCATCAGGGCACGCAATGATGGGTTCCGGGCATCGGTATTTTTTAAGGTACCCAGGTGATTACAATATGCCACCAAAGCGGAGAACTGCTGTAATAAACAGGCTAGAGTGCATCGACCTAACGTCCACTTTACCTGAGTGATCTCATTGATCACCACGTGAGTGCACCGGGCCTCATATTCTGGCCGGGCTTGCTCCTCCTGCTGTAACTCAACAGTGTCCCATTCGTACTCCAGTTCTGCCTGGCGCCGCTTCCAAAACTCCAGAAACAAGGTTACTAACAGAGAGAGAACAGGAGCATGGGGACCGTCAACAAAGCTGTCCTGAATTATTAATCATTGTAATTACTCATAACACTTTTGTACACGGTCAATAAAACCTAATCTAGTAGGTGATACTATGATTTAGAAGAGAAAAACAAGTTACTTTTTTTTTTAAAGATGATGTTGATAATTTACTCAGCTTGTGAAAACAGACTATAGCCACCAGAAAGGTAACAACAACACGATGGTCAGAAAGCACGTGACTGTGTCTAACGCTAGAACATCTGCTACCAGCATGTTGTTGCCAAGTAAAAAACACAAATAACTGCCATAATTCAAAAACAGTTTATGGTCCATCCATCCTTCAGCCTGTTCTTCCCTACATCCCTTTCCCTCTTTTCTTTCCTAAGAGCCTGGTGGGGGGGAAACTTTAGTAGTCCCTAAATCTCTATTTACCACCACCCAAGCCACCCCGGATTAAAACAATATTCTTAAATACACAAAAATGATGCTTTTCTCAATCTTGTGTGAAATATGAAATAATTTTTAGAACTCTTTACTATCTTTTAAGACCTGAAACTTAAAATACTAAATAAAAACAACATTAAATGTTGATTGAAAATACAGTTTCAGGGTAAATCCCACAGACCCTTCTTTCTTATAAA